CAGAGCCTGCTAATCGAAAAGAAAGTCTCAGAAGGAGGTATCCTGCTCTCCTCAAAAACCAAGGATAAGGAATAGTCACTATGGGATTCTGTGCTCAGTGATGCCAGAAAAAGTTACACGGGTGTGAGATGTTTTTCCTCCCAGAGGCAGCTGGGATGGGTAGGAAAAAATCAACCCATACCTTAAGGGCTAAGTTGAGTCACCTTTTTCATAGGATTCCACGCCTGAATGCTCTGCAGACCAAGCTTTTTTTGAGGTTGGAATTACAGATTTCCACGGTTTGATAGGTAGTGCCACTTGATGACAATTTGCTGGGCTAAAAATGAAATCTGCAGCTGAGAGTTGGAGAGTTTGTTGCCAAAAAGCAGCCTCAGATCTCTCCTTACCTTTACATGCTAAACCCTAGTGAGAGGAGGAAGGATGAGCAAATCCAGTTTTAGATAGAACCTGCAGTCAGCTTGAAAAACCTCTGAAAAATAATAAAATAAAGGGGGAAGGGGAGCATCACAAGGTAGAATATCCCGAGCAGAGATGAGGTACCTCTGAGTCTGCTCTCTGGTGCAGTTGTGCTGAAGGGAGCATTACCCAGCAATGGGGTTGTGCAGGGCTTCCTCCTGCCCTTCTTTCTTACAGCAAAAGGGGCACCAGCACCACCTTGTGCTTTAAGGAGAAATTTCACTACTGAGCATAAAAACGTGCTCGTGTTTGCAAGCAGGAGATAAATCACTGCCTCTTCCAGTGACTGCTAACACCCCTGCAAGCTGAGCAAGAGCTACACGTGTATTAACACACTTTTTAAGGCAATTCGGTCGCAGCAAGAAAGTTTTTTGGCATTTCTATAGCAAGTTTCATGCAGATGAATATTCCAGAGCACCCTATACTTTGTACATGGGCAGGGGACACAACAAACATCGCCAGGATGCCAGAAGAGGGAGGAATCAAATCCCCTCACTAGGTGATCAGAAGAGTGAAGAAAGTTAATGCTGTGTGGACCAAATATATTGAATATTGGCATATGAGCACCCACAAGACCCTTCCTTCCCGATTTCTAATTACAATCCAACTCTGGCAACCACGCCACTTATTTAAGAACAATGAAGTTTTTCAGCTGACTTTTAATGCAAATTGAAACTGGACAACAGCCAACTACATAACTTTTGATCTCGGAGCACAGCTGCAGGCAGAGTTATCTGGATGAGTTTTGCCAGCTTAAACAATTGCCAAAAATAAAACACAAGTTTCAGAGCAATGCTGCGGTCTGCAGAGCACCAGACCTGAATCTTACTTTCCACCTGCACCCAAATTACCCCAGTGATGGAAATCTCTTGTCACAGTGGCTAAAAAGACCGTGCAAAGATGACTGCATGCAACTGGGGGAAATATGGCTTTAGGGGGCCACTTTGCATCAGTGCAGGGAACCCAGCACAGGTTTAGGAACAAGCCAGCCTTGCTCAAGGAACCTGCCTCTGTGCTGACTCACTGTGTCCTTGGGCAAGTCATTTCAGCTCTCTGCTCATCCCTTTGCAGGTTTCTCACCCATTGCACCTAACTGATCTTCCCATAGCTCAAGTTGGGACTTGGGTAGGATTTATATAGACAGACAGACAGGAACTTTTGGAATTTCCCTACGAAAGGCTATTTTGCCTCCTCAGGGTTTTAACTACAGCACTGTGTGGCCCCGGATCACAACTCCCTAACTGTGGTTAGGAAATCAAGTGCACACAGATGACTAACACAGCGGTTAAGAAAAAAAATCTTTAAGCCTTAGATCCAGAATTGTAATCCTGGTTTTCTGGACTGTCACCAACTACCAGATTCAAGAAATTATTTTTTTTCCCTTAAAAACTAATTTGATCCTTCTTGTAACACACTTTCCTCCTCCTCTTTCTATTCTCCATCTCCTAGAAAAGCTTCTGCTCTCCAGCTGCTGGATTCACTGGGGTGACAGCTCTGCCACTGGCAGCATTTGGACAGGCTGCTAGGTCCAAACAGATTCCCTTGATTTAATGCCACTCCACAGAGGCTTCTTCTGATACACAGCTGGACTCTGACCTTGTTCCAGTCTAACTAAGGGAGAGAAGATAAACCAACTTTGATGCATGCAATTTTCTGTAAGCCTACACCCCCCAGTTAAGTATTACTTCATTTTTTAAACAAAGCTCCAGCTCCACAAAGAGCTTTTTACAATTAGATGACTTTATAAATAGCTTTTTGGGAAGCTCTGTAGTTTCCCCACTTGTGTGCTCTACAGCAAAACCAAAATGCATAACCCTGAGTCAAAAGCTAAAAAGCAGTTTTTGAGAGCAGAAAAGCAGGCATTTAAAAAGCTACCAGAGCATGCAAGCCAGGTGAGACAGTTCCTTAAGGTAAGAAAAATTTGTTAAAATGGTGAATGTTTTAATTGTGAGTTTTCATACTTGCTCTGGCTACTTTTAATAGTACCCTCAGCAAGGGCACTATTAGCAACCCAAAGGATTAGGTCACAGCTAGTTTTTTAAGAAAGAATGGAAACCCTGCTAAGCTTCCAGCACCTGAGTGAGCAAAGCATGAACCTACCTGTTTCACCCTGTCCATGGCAATCATTCAGTTCAGCCAGAAGCTGGTTGAAGTCATCCTGATGAGCAATCCAGTTGTCCTGTAAATATCACTCACATGAATGTAAGGCAGGAGCTCTCAGTCCTAAAAAATTTTGTCAGTCCTAACAGAAATTTTGCTAAAAAGGGTATTAAGATTCTACACTCTGACAGGTAACTCAATTGCAGGTGCTCAACTCGTCCTGGTGGGAAGAACTCTCTGGAGCTCCACACGGCAGCTCAATACAGTCACTCCAAAATGCACAACTGATAGGGGTTGTGTTTGAGTGTCTTCAAGCAGTGCTGAGCTGCTGTTGGCTCTGCTTGCCCTATGCTGGGCAAAATGTTTTCAACAGCAGGCAGGAAACATTAATGTGATTTTCTGGCAACAACATTACTTGAGATGTTGACTCAGAGTACAGCACCTTTAGGAGCAAATTCTGCTTTTGCTACACCCTGAACTTCACTCAGGAAGGTGACTGTTCCAGAACACCGTTCCAAAACAGCGTTCCCAAACAGCCACTTTCTCCCAAAACACCCAACAGAGCACCACTAAATAAAAGAGCAAGAGTTTCTGCAGAGATGTTCACACAGGTGTGTGCTGCCACCAAGGGTGAGAGCAGATTTCACTGACATCCCACCACAAAGACTGTGCTTCAGCTGAAGGAGCCACGTTTCTCACCTGGGGCTAGTGCTCACCTCGTGATTGATGGTTGCTCCCAATCCCAGCATGTTGTTTTTCACATGAACCTTGATATGTTCTGTATTCCCTTGCTCCTGAGCCCCAAGACCCTAAGGAGGATTTAAGGGCAAAAGTAAGGATTTTTCTGCAGTGACCAGGCAACCAAAGCGTTTGCACTGTAAGGCAATTTGTAACAAAATACAGGAATAAACCACAAGTTACTATTTATTTGCTTGCCTGCACCTTAATTCATTTGCAGGCATTAGCACACATGAGATATTAAGTATTTTTAATTTACTACTAAAGCCTGCGGCAAAATATCATAAACACTAAAATAGCAACAACATTATGTAGTTGGGTGATTAATCAGGAAGCCACCTGACATTCCCAGGCAACTCCAAAGTGTTTACTATTTTAAAACAAAATACGACGTGTCTCTCACCAAAAACACAGCCGGCACTGGGAAGGCAGCTGCATAACAACAAACAGCTCCAAGGGACAGGAGAACTCAAGTGCATAACGAAATTATGTTGGGGTATCTGTATGACTGCTGCATTTGTCTGAGTTCATAATGAAATGGGGACACAAAACCCTCTGCAACAGCTGGAGCTGCCTGTTGTAAAGGAAGATC